GTTACAGGTGACTGTTGTGAAGGGACCAGAAGGTCCCATATGTCGGGTAGGCCTGCCTCACAGGGAGGTCTGCTGTCTCCCTGGAGCCAAGGTTAAGGACATCACTAGGAAACTTCCCAGCCTAATAAAGTCCTCAGATTACTACCCCCTACTCTTCTTCCAGGTGGGAGGTGAAGATGCGGCTGCACATAGCATGAGAACTATTAAAAAAGATTTCAGGGCTTTGGGACGGTTGCTAAGGGAATCTGGGGCATAGGTTATTTTCTCCAATAGCCTGCCACTTGAGAGCAAGAACATTGGAATAAACAAAAAGATCCAATCTATTAATGCATGGCTCCAGGGCTGGTGCCCCCAGCACAATTTTGGTTTCTTTGACAACAGGATAGCCTACATGGCACCAGAAATACTAATATCAAAGGGGAGAGAGCTGTCTAGTAAGGGGAAGAGAATCCTTGCCAAGGAGCTAGTAGGGTTGATTCACAGGGCTTTAAACTAGAAGAGAAAGGGGGAGGGGGTGGAGATGTTAGGGTCATAAGCAATAGGATAGTATTCCAGGGCTAGTGGAATGGGAGAACAAAAGGCTATTAGTCAAAGAACAACCTCAGGAATTAAAGGGATGCCCATCTAAGTCACTAGCATAGCCTGCAGCCCAGCTGAAGTGCCTCTACACCAATGCACATAGCCTGGGCAACAAACAGGAAGAGCTGGAATCTACCATGCTGCGGGAAGGTTATGACTTAGTGGCCATCACTGAAACTTGGTGGGACAAATCCTATGAGTGAAGCGTAGCTATCGATGGCTACAAATTGTTCAGGAGGGACAGGAGTGGAAGGAAGGGCAGTGGTGTTGCCCTTTATGTTAAGAAATTGATGGATTGTGAAGAGCTGTCCCAACAAGGTTGTTCAGCCTGGAGAAAAGGAGGCTCTGGGGGGACCTTATAGCAACCTTCCAGTACCTGAAAGGGGCCTACAAGAAAGCAGGAGAGGGACTATTCACAAGGGTCTGTAGGGACAGGATGAGGGGTAAAGGGTTTAAGCTAGAAAAGGGTAGATTCAGGTTAGATGTTAGGAAAAAGTTCTTCAGTATGAGGGTGATAGACCACTGGAATAGGTTGCCCAGACAGGTGGTAGAGGCCCCATCCTTGGAGACATTCAAGATCAGGTGAGCTGAAGCTCTGAGTAGCTTGATCTAGTTGGAGATGTCCCTGCTTATGGCAGGGGGCTGGACTAGATGACTTTTGGAGGTCCCTTCCAGCCCAGACATTCTGTGATTCTATGAAATTTTAGTTGAAAAAAGTTTATATACTTATTGTATAAAGATTACAGGTAAGCAATTAAAAACATTTTTTCATATAAAAACTTTTGGAGGATGGAATTTGAAAGTAAAGAACATTCATCTTTCAGCTTAACACAGACATACAACCTCAGAGTGAGCAACACTACACTTAACAAGTGCTACCATACAGACAGCAATGCATGCTGACACTGAAATGCAAAGAAAACTGAACTTCTGTGTAATCTTGCCCTAACTCTGGGCAAAGGTTAAGGCTCAGTTACAAACTCAACATCTTCACCCTCTCAACCACAATACAATTGGAGTTCTTAAACTGTTCAGACTGGGCTCTGCATGGTACTACTTGTAAACAGAGGTGATAAACCCTCACGTAGTGTAAAACATCGTACACCCCAATGTTTGCATTGTGAGTTTATCACTGATGTAATCTGAGCTCCATTTTGAAAATTAGTGCTACAGAACTTGGGGAAGGGGAGGAGAGGGGAAGTATTTAATTAGTATTAGCTAAAACAAACTCAATCTTATTTTAACTAATCCTACTACCATGTCTCAAAGACAGCCTGTTCAGTAAGGGCCGCTTACAATCCAATGTCTCTTTTATGGCTTTTTAGAATTAAGAAGTGTAACTATCTTTTCAAGGAAGTGTCTATTCTGGGAAGAGGCTCAAGAAGTGAAACAGGTTGGCCATGGAAGGGGGAGCTGCTCAGTCACTTGGTGGTATCCAAGACCAGACTGAATGGGGCTTTATGCAACTTGGTCTTGGCAGGTCCCTTCCAACCCATTCAGTGCTTCTAGGACTCTGTCAGTATATTTAAAGTTTCTCAGAGAACAAATTATTAAATTTTTATTCCACCTGAATTTTTTACTCCAGCTGAAAGGATGTACCATGTCAGGAAATTCATTTAATAGATCTACTTAAAGAGCAAGAGAGGAGCCTATAGGTTATGCATAGTAATGCTACAAGTAGATAAAAGTCTCTGGCTGGTTGGGGTAATGCTTAAAACCCGTCTCTCTCCTCTCAATACTCAGTTTTAAAATAAAAGTTTACATAGTGGCCCCTTATGAATGAAAACGTGAGTTAAAAGTTTTGCTCTCCAAGAGTTATTGCACATTACAAAGAGGTACGTCAGTCATTTCAGAGTACATGCTAAAGGCATCGATTTCTGTTCCATGGGTTAGCAAGGAAAAGGCAAACCACCCTGTAGTGGCATTAAGACAAGACCTAAATCCAGACAAGTAGTGTTTGTTTGCCCTGTTTGTGAACAAACCATGACATGACATTCATCCAAAAGCAAGTGCAGTCCATTCTTTTAAAGTTCTTTGGAAAAAAAATCCAAAATAGGTAATTTTCTGTCGTGGAACAAGTGCAAAAAAAGAAGTTTGCCAGCTGTGTGAAAGCAAGTACACACACTCACAGTGCCTGCCATCTCCAGCGATGAGTGTTCTGGGGACGTACCCATCCTGCTCTCTCATGAATGCAAATGTCTTCTGGCAGTGGCAGCTGTGAGTGCCCCACGGCTCACCCACACTTTCCCCAAACCAGTGCTTCCATCAGTCAGCTGGAGGCTGGCTGGGCCCCCCCTCCTTGGTTCAGGCAGAATTGCATTGAGAGTTTTCTTCTCCAGTTTTATAAAAATAAACATTCTTTTTCAGTGTAATACTGGCACAAAGGAAAATGTTTTCTCACAAAAATAAGTTGGCTTGTGTGGTGTTCTTAAGACAAATGTTGCAATTCCATTTTCCCCTCTAGCTGGGGATCTCACCGTCCTAGACTCATGTGCAAAACAAAAATAAACAAACAAAACTTTGTTTATTAACAAACAATGAACAGTACAGTCCGGTAGCTCCGTGTCTGTCCGTGTGCGGCTGCAAGCGAGGAGAGGCTCGGGCTCTGTGTCTGCCACTTGATGTCTCACATTGGGATGGTGCGATTCCGTAATACTGGGTGGCAGCAAAGGTGGAGTTCTCCGCCCGCTCCCCTCCCCGGAGCCGGGTCTGCCCTCACAGTGCAATTTTGCTGGGCCTGTGGCTCCAGCACCCCCGTCTGGCAGCAGTCCGGGGGAGTATCAGGCTGCAGCGGCTCCTCATGTTCAGCTCCCTGCTGACGGGAGCCTTCTTCCGCAGGATGAAGTCGAAGTTCACGCGGCTGTTCATGGCGTAGAACACGTTGGCGTTGGATGGGAGCACCAGCTCTGCAAGAGAGGGAGCGGAGCAAGCGTTAATTTGCAGCATCGCAGGGGGCAGAAGGGAAGCTGGGGGAGAACAGCCTGGGCGTACGCAGCTCCTGTGCCTCTTCAGGCGAAGCTGCACTGGGTGGCACCCACAGCTGCTGTCCCACAAAAAAAAAGGGGAGCAGGTCTTCAGAGGAGAGGAAACGGGGGCCAAACACAGACCATGTCCAGCCTGGCAGAGGCCCTGGCAGCTGCTCCATGAGGAGGCTGTGCTGAGAGCTCAATGATGGTGGCAGCATCTGGGCCTGCCCGAATCCCCGGGGACCTCTGCTTGCAGGGAGAGAGCAGCTGCTCCGTGGTCAGCAGCTCTGCAGTCACAGTGCACGTACGAAGGTCTACCTGGAAACCCATGAGCGAGCTCTGCCTGTACAAAGCAGTGTGCTAACAGGCCTTGACAAATCATCCCTGCTCACCAGTTATCAAAGGGCTTTATCTCACTGGCAGCTGTGACAACATGTCTGTGGTGATTTAATGTTGCTTCACTTCTTAACTCTTCAAGCAGAACTTTTCCAGCAGTAGCAGAGTTATGCTCATCATAGAATCATGGACTGGTTTGGGTTGGAAGGGACCTTTCAAAGGCATCTAGTCCAACCTGTCAGCAATGAACAGGGATGTCTTCAACCCAAGAAGGTTGCTCAGAGCTCAGTTCAACCTGGCCTGGAATGGTTCCAGCAACGGGGCATCTACCAGCCCTCTGGGCAACTTGTGCCATTGTCTCACCACCCTCAACATAAACGATTTCTTCTGTCTAGTCTAAATCTTCCCTCTTTTAGTTTAAAACCATCACCCCTTGTCCAGTGGCAACAGGCCCTGCTAAAAAGACTGTCCCCATCTTTCTTATAGATCCCCTTGAAGTACTGGATGGCTGCAATAAGGTCTCTCAATCTGCTTCCCCTACCTTTGGCCTCAGAGATGACCTGTACAAGCTCATAATCCTCAGCTGCATCAGATTCCAGGTTGTGCTTTAACATCGCTCTCTTGATGACAGCAGGAGTTTTGTCTTGGCTAGTTAGCTGGAAAGAGAGATTTTCAGTGAGATTCTGCTTATTCATTCTATAGAATTCCAGACTGGTAGGGCTTGGAAAGGACCTCTAAAGGTTTGGAAAGTCTCCAGAGAAGGAGACTTCACAACCTCTCTGGGCAGCCTGTCCTAGGGCTCTGGCACCCTCACAGCAAAGAAGTTTTTCCTCCTGTTCAGATAGAACCTCCCGGGTTGCCGTCTGTGCCTATTGCCCCTTGTCCTGTCACTGGGCATCACAGAAAGTCTGGCCCCATCCTCTTGACACATGACCTTTAGATATTTATATAAGTGATTTTTTAAATTATATTTTAATGATTTAATAATTAGCCAAAGCCTGCCTGTCTGCAGACCACTTGGTCATGGAAACTATTTCAGAGAACTGAAAAAATACAGTGGGTGAGTAACACAGTAGTAAGTGCTGCTAGACACTAAAACATGGTATTTCTAACATTTGGTGGGGGTGGATTTTTAGTTCGAGACAACAGATACTGTACTAGAAGAGACAGCAGTGTATCAGTGTCTCCAAGCAAATGCTTTGAGAGATGAGATATTCTTCTAACTAGCCATGAAAGTCAAATAGCTGCCCCATCTGTTGTTTTACAGACACCAGTTAACCTCAGTCCCCTGTGCTAAATAATTTCTTTGACATTCTGCAAAGATTTTGGGCCTTGTAAGGGGTTTAGTGTCAGCTGTGGAAATGCTGCGCATCCGGAGCGGTCACGGCTCCCCCCAGAGCCTTATGCAACCAAAAGGAAGAGGAGTCTCTCCAGCAGCTGCTTTTGTCAGGGTCTTCGGGGACTGCTATTTGGGAAAGAACAGACCGTTAAAATCATAAGGTAGATAAATGTGCCAAGAACTACTCCCCTGCATCTTTGTCCCCCAGGCCCTGGGGGACCCGGAGTGTTTGCTCCATGGCTGAGTCTCTGTTGGGTATGTGAAGAGATCTCGTGCAGGAAAATGTTATCACCCACAGTCCAGCACAGGCCCCGTGCTCCCTCAGCCATGGGCCTGGCCCTGCCAGGACATCTCCATGGAGCCAGCAATGAGGGAAACCCCAAAACCCTTGCTGCTGCTCTGGCAACCTTCACCGTGGAAAGAAGCTGCATCATTAAAGGGCTTGTTGACTTCCTCACATACAGCTCTCTGTTTCCAGAAACCAGCTCTTGGGGAAAGCTTCTTGAGGAAGAACGTGGCACGTGGCATCTTGTGTCTGAACTCAGACAAAAGCAGCTAGCACTAGCAGAAGGGCAGGAGCAGCAAAGCCTGCACTTTATCAGAATGCTTCATTTTGAGCTTTTTGATAAAATACAAATTTCAAACCTCTCATTCATACCATGCTCCACATAGTTTGAATTGTAACATTTGTCGATGTTACAATTCAAGACAGGTTTGATTAGTTGGCTCAATGTTTTCAAAACTAAAAGCACCATTGTGCTTAGATCACCCTGGATGAAACCATCACCAACAGCAGCAATGTTTTGCTGTTCCACACCACTCACCAGGATGCTCTTGTACATATTGCCATTGTCATCTTCTATGCTGATCCGGATGATGCACATATCTTCGTTCTGCTGGTTGTAAACTGGAGGCAGGACTTTTGAGGTAATGGGCGTCATGGAGACGGGGCACTTGTCATTGGAGCTGGAGACACAGGACTTGTCGTTGGACTCTGAGATGGAGACACAGGACTTGTCATTGGACTCGGAGATGGAGACAGAGCACTTGTCATTGGACTCGGAGATGGAGACAGAGCACTTGCCTTTGGGCTCTGAGGTGGAGACAGAGCACTTGTCGCTGGAGTCTGAGGTGGAGGACTCGTTGGCGTCAGAGATGGAGATGGAGGACTTGGAGTCAGGGATGGAGCACTCGTCGTCAGAGTTGGAGCACTTGTCATTAGAGGATGACAAGAGAGTGGCTGAGGTTAAAGATGACACCCCGAAGGAAGATGTGTCTGTGGAATGGTTGGAGGAAGAGGAGGATTCGGAGGAGGAGGATTCAGAAGATTCAGAGAGCTACACAAGAGAAGAAAAGAAAAACACTGTCATAAACTGGACATTTTTTATGTCTGCCTGTGTGGTTCTGGAGGAAGAACTTGAGAAAGCAGAAGGCACATACAAAACCTCAGCCTTCTGCAGTCTGTCCAGCAGGCTGGTGATGGTATTCCGTGCCTCCAGAAAAAGTGAATTTATCTTGATTATTTTCACCATTTTAATGAAAACTTCTTTACAATTTGGTGTGCTGAACACTGTGTGCTGCTTGTGCTTGCCTCTCAGTAAAAGGCCAGGAGGTGGCAGCAGATGCAACCAACAGAATCAGGTTGTGGGCAACCAGACCGGGATTGCGATGGGCTGGACAAGAGCAGAGGGTGTCACAGGCACCGCTGCTCTGGCTCCAGGTCGAAGCCTTTAGACGAGCGAAAATACACACCTTCCTGTCTGCTGCTTCTCCTTCAACAGGCTTTTGAATCACAGAATCGGCTTGGTAGGAAAATACCCTTAAGATCGAGTCCAGCTGTGGAACTGGACTGAGCCAAGGCAAGATGTTCATCTTGGCAGCAGGAAATCCATGGGAGGTCAAACCTGCAGCTCTGCCCATTGCTTGGTCAAGTGCAGCTGCTCTGCCTTCCCCAGGACTTGGCTGTTCCTCGTGCACGCGTGCTTTCCCACCCAGAAAACCTCATGCTTTTCCAGCACCTCTCCTAAACCAAAAACACTGCCAGGCACCCTAGTTTCAGGGAAGAGGAACTTTAGTCTACTTCGTATCTTGGCAGCACAGAAGGAATTCTGCAAAAATCCCAACCGGATTGCTTCCATTTTAACATTTCTTTTTAGAGTCTCTCCATTCCACAAAAGCAATGCTCTAGTCTAGACCAACAGGCTTGGGCCAGCGTTGAGGGCCTGCCTGGAGTGTTGACAGTCTCTTATGGGCTTTTTATGCTGGCAGCAAGGCCCAGACCATACCTGCTTCTGAGACTCCTCGGGAGCGCCTTCGGGGGCAACGCAGACGTCTTCAGACTCGGAGTGATTGAGCTCGCATGATGAAACACTGGCTGAGTCCGTGCTTTCACCAGAGCTCCCACCTGGAGTAGATTTGGGTTGTTCTTTGATGGGTGTGCTATGGGCCGTCACCTCGGAGCTTTGAAACAGTCTGGTATAGAAAAGCAAGCATAAAAGCCAGTCAGTGAGAGCAGAACAGAGCTGGGCTGAGTAAAACTGTCACTCGGTTCAGACATCTTATGTGTTGTTTGGTTTTCCTATCTCGAGTGTCCTATTGTTTTCATTTCCTCTGTGTTGTTTACAGGGCTTGTTCCACACTAACACATACAATACCTTCTTGACCTAGCAGACCCACCAGCTACAAGGCCAAAATCAGAACTAATGCCCCAGTATCACAAACAAGACTCCTCTTTGGCCTGTTAAATTTTCAGACTCACTTGTTAGGAAACAATTGATTGTAACCCTGATCTGTTTACAAACTAAGAGACGAGGGGCAAGCTGGAGGCATGGCAGCTGGTTCCACCATATCTGCTCCTTCACACCCTGGTGCCTCTAAGCAAGATGCAGCCCAAGACCTACATGGTCACCATGAGTAAGTGAGACTGTGAAAGTTATCACATGGCCGTATTACCAGGCAAAGGCCTTCAACAGGCACATTCATCCCTGCTGCAAATTCCTTCCCTCAGTAAAGGTGCCACAGATACCAGTTTCTCTTCAAGAGTCTGAATGGAGATGTACACAATGGGGAGATCATAAGAGGGTGTAAATTAGAGGCTCTCCCCTCTCCGACATTCGTTTCTAAAAGCAGGTCAAGTAAATTGAAAGGAGTGTCAAAGGAAACAAACTGGTACAATATATAAAGTAGAGAAGCAAGGTGAATTAGATGCTATGTCAGCGTGCAGTTAATGATTTAAAACAATTTAGAGAGGTGTCAGTCACTGTTGCTGGGATGAATGATGCTGGCCTTTTCTACAGTATTAATTTGCAAAAGACACTCAGAGTGCAGATGAAACAGTTCTTTAGACAAAGACTGCCCAGTGCGGGCAAACTCCATGCAGTAAATTACAATCCTGCAGCACTGAAACGCAGCCAGAAACAAGAGCATAAAGCCCGTGCTCCACAGCCACAACTCTTACACGCAGTTTAGGCCCGTGCCAAGGGGGAGAACACAAAGGGAAGGCCACTGAGAGTTCAGGCACCATCATCTTCAGAACTCATGTTCTCATAATGTATCACCACCAACTCAGGTGGACTCATCAAAATGCTTTCTAAGCAGCTGCCTGGATTTTTTTTGCATACAGAACTCAAACCTCAAGATTGAAAACATCTATTCTTCTTTCTGACCCTAACTTGCAGTAGTGCTGATGTGAAGTGAATGGCTACTGGCTGTTTTGAGGAAACCAAGTACAAAAGCCCAGCAAGAAAGGACAGCTAAGAACTGATAGTGTTGTCAAATTCACCATTTCCCCCCTCGTCTTCATCGTGCCACTGGTATGTGGGAGTCCCTTCGTATCTCTGCTAGCGTCAGGTTCAAATTTCTCACCTTTAAGATATTTTAGTTCAGTCCTTGATCTCTGCGTATATTCCCTGTGGTCCTTCCAGAACTGCTAGTCTGTTGTTTCCCATGCCTGCTTAGCTGCATCCCCCTGCTCTCCACCCACCTCCTGTTTGAATCTTTGTGGTATTGGACTAAATTGGACCACGTCCCCACTATTTTTTTTCCATCTCTATTTTGAAGCCAGTTAGGCAGATTGTTTCTATTATCAACTGCCTTTTCGCTAACCTTAATTTTCATATTAAAATCCTGCAAGGAAGTTTTGCATGTGCAGAGCAAATTAGACTAATAATAGGCCAGACTTTATCCTCAATTTACTGTGTTTTGCTACTGCATTTGGGGATGTTATGACACAATAGATACTGAACTTATAACCCAGCACAAAATTTCCCCTTTTTCTGACACCTTAGGAAGGCCCGTTGGTTCTGATCTCTCTCACCATTAACAAACCTCATGACTACTAACAACAGAAAGGGACAGCTCCAACACAAGTACACATTTCTAGCTGACTGCATCTCCTGAAAGTAAAGGCAGTGGTCTGGATCCCCAGCTAGGTTTTTCAGGGGCTCGTTTTACGCATTCAGGTTCATATTAACACACTAGATGCCCTTTGCCCCGGGGTACTCACAGGCTGAACCTCTTCACCATGCTTTTCCGAGATTTTGGCGACGTGGTGCTAGTGTCAGCAGCTGCTTCAACCTCACGTGAAAGGCTGAAACTGCAGAACAGAGACAGCTGGGTTAATTTTTACAGACGGTGCTATTAGTTCTGTATCTCAAAGTGGCAACATTCAAGAAATTTGGGAAACCTTCAGTTATTCCCACTTCACAGAAGGCTGCAAAGCCCACAAAGAGGAACATAAATGTCTATATTTTACCATGGTGAAAGGGATATTTCACTTCTTTGTAATAGTGCTTTTTTGGATGATGTTCATCATTTTATTAAAAAAAAAACGAAATACTTAACGTGAATCTTGGATAAGCTTTTGTTTTTGCTATGACTCCATACAATGCAGTATCTGTGCTTACACTCTTAGTGCAGCATCTTGGCATTCAAAACCTAGTGGAGATACTAAAATGCTATAAAATAATTATCATGGGTTTGTCTAGCAGCATGTACAGTAGGGTAAAACCCAGCAGGGCTGCAAAACCCACCCCACACACCCTGGAGAGACTGCTCTGGTGAGTGCTCAGCAAGGTAGCCTTGGCTGCCTCCTGCCTGCCTCCCTCAGCCCAGTGCTCGGTGACTGCTTCTTGGCGTCCCTTGGGATCCACTTCTGGGCTGTGTCTGCACACAGACAGCCCAGACACAACAGACTATCCTATTTCCAAGTCAGAAGCCTGGCTTCCAACCTGAAAACTAAGTGTTCAACAGGTTTTCTACAGCTGTTTAGCAGAAGGCAGATGTATTTCCACTCTCCCTAGGCAGCAGTACACATGAGTTCCTGTCAGGGGATAGCTGAGGGCTGACATAAGCTACCTGCGGGTGGTAGAAAGAAAAGCCTGTTTCACCATCTGAACTGAGAACCTACCTCTCCTCTTCAGTTAAATGCTGCTGTCTCTTGAACCACTGGATGAATTCTTGGTCTGGTGTCATGCAATAGCTGTTACACGCAGACTGCAAGAGCTTAATTTGGGCGATCACTTCAAATTCCTAAAACAGCAAATAACCAAATAGGAGTTATAATTAGAAAACAAGATAAAGCCAAGCAAATTCATTCATATACTAAACACACACAACAGCAGATCCAAGATAAACTTCATCTGACCTGAAGTTGGTTTCAGTTGAGTTGAATGACTCTTTCAAGAACCAGTTTTTCAAACAATATCTTTTTTCCCCCAGCATCCATAATGTACATCAAAATGTGAACGTTTTGCCAGACACATGCAAATTCGAAGACAAATGTAAGGAATTCTGCTTCACCACAAGCATTAACAAGTACTTTCACAGGTACTAACTCAAGTGTAACACTGGTGTAAGCACACCGAACAGCAGCACTGCTGGTTGTTACTGTATAAACAAGGGTAGCAAAGGGTCAGAAGTTCTTCAGCTTACCCTGTCTGCCCACCCCTGCACTGGCCAGACCAGCTCTGAGAGAAGAATTGTGCTCTGTTCTTAGGTGATTCTCAGGCAGCAAGCCAGGGGAATAATTAGAGGTGCCTACGATGAAAGCAAAGCCTGATCCTCCTCAGCTTTGCCTCAAGCTTGCACCAAAGGAACATAAAATGCTGCCCTCAGTAAGCGTGACTAGAATTGGCACGCTTCAGAGGGCAGCTTTGCCACTGGTTTGTATGAAGCTGGACTGATGACCACAGAGAAGCTCGTGTATCACATTAGTAGCATCCTGAGCTGTGCACTTATCTGTACAAGGCAAGTCCAAGAAGTGGTTTGTAGAGCTGGGAGCAGTTAAGGGGAGGAAATGGATCCATCATAGCCAAATCCAAGCGTGCTTTCAGACCCCAGAAGGGAGATTTGGCACGACTTCATTCAGACAGATGTAACCCTAGTACCTTTACTCCTACACAGCGTTACTTATCTCTGACCAAAAAGGAGCAGGCTGAACGGAAAGACTGATAGCCTTTATTTCTCAGTCCCATGTACCTCTCTCTGCAGCCTTTTACCTACAAGTCGTTTACTGCAGCAGAAGGAAGATGTTTACAAACTGTATCTTCTGGAGAGCAAAGGTCTCACGCCACCAAGTCTGATTCAGCACACAGGACTTACACATGTAACATACTCCCATGAACACCAGATGGAGGGAATGTTCATGCCCCAGAACTAAATCCCATGGAAGTAACAGGCCTACACCACCCCTCAGTTTGGCAGGGGCTCACAGAATTTCAGGGATCCAGTCTTTCCTCACAAACTTGCATTAAAATTAGTGGCTGTTGCATATTCCTGAGCACACGGCCCCGCTGTGAGCATGCTCTGGATGAGGGCACCACTAAACTAAAAATCACACAACACTCGGCTTACCTTTCGCCTCTTCTCAAAGTTTATCAGGCCACCCTGTTGGAAGGAAAGAGAAGGGATCAGGGTAGAAGAGCACGTGCTCAGTCAAATGTAATCACAAACAGGATAAAGTAGCAAGGCTAATGTAAAGCACAGACCTGCCCTGAGCAAGTACCTTCTAAAAATACCTGTTTCCAGATCTGGTAGAAACCACAGCACTCATATATGAGTCTCCAAGGGCTATCTGTCCTCATGGCCTACATGGCAATCTGCCCAAGAAGAAAAGCCTGATACAAGAGCACTCATAAAAGCAGTGTCAAGATCAGGTCTGGAGAACACTAGCAGGATTTTGCAGGCAAAGAAACAAGCTTGGCTTTTGCAGGTACTGTGAGTTTTAAGTTCAGCAGTGTTTCCAGTGAGTCTCAGAAACACCAACTGAATGCAAAGCATTGGCCAAAGGGGAACTGCCAAAGAGAAAATGGATATATAGCAACCTTCTGTAGGCCTGCTTGAGTGCAGCTTCGCAACAGAAACCACAGCCAAACCAACCAGCAGCCATTACCAGGCCAGGGAGAGGTGTATTTGCCTATTCTTGTCATAAATACCAGCACAACAAAGGCTGAGCACCTGCAGCATGGCTCCTCACTTGTCTCCTTAAACAGAAAAGGAGACTGTGGGAAAACCTTATTCTCTACAGCTACGTGAAAGGAGGTTACGGCAAGGTGGGTGCCGGTCTCTTCTCACAACTAATAAGCAATAGGACGAGAAAATGGCTTCAACTTGTGCCAGGGGAGGTCTAAGTTGAATAGTAGAAAAGTTTCTTCCCCTCAAGGGTTGCTAAGGCCTGGAACAGGCTGCTCAGAGACGTGATGGAGTCCCCATCTCTGAAGGGATTGAAAAGCCATGTATATGTGGTGCTGAGGAACATGGTTTAGCAGTGGGCTTGATATAGTTAAGTTAATGGTTGGAATCCATGATCTTAAAGGTCTTTTCCAACCTAAGCACTTCTGTGCTTCTGTGAATGAGGTAAACTTGCAAAAGTGTTTTATTGAAACAAACACACTTGAAAATTTGCCCCAACCTCAGTCTCCATTAAATGGACAGATTCTTACAATCCTTTTTCGCCTCCTACACTAGCTTGGTTCCCCCTGCTTGTTAAGCTAAAGAGAAATGGAAAAAACAAGTCTTTAATCAATTTAGTGCTAAGACACTCTGAATCAATACTGAAGTACTTTAGTGATCAGACTGAAGAGCTGAATTAACGGTTCTGTGTATTTTGCCAATTATTCACAGAAATCTTTACACTTAATATGTTGTTTTTAGAAAAATAAAACAGAATAATGGTAAGCCTACTGTCCTTGCATTTCCTAACCTAAAGTAACAAGACAAAATGCAACACTAAGCTTGTCCCTTGAGATAACTGTTCTCAAATTCACACAAGATTCTTGTTGCTAATAAAACTGCATATCCCTTCATTTTTCTTTTTGAAAACAGCTTCTTCCATTTTTACGAACTGCATGAGAACCCAGTAGAAGATACAGGAACAGACATTTCAGTATTGATATGAAAATTATCAGTATCAGGGAGGATATTCAGGATTTTTAAAATTGCCCCAAATTACCTCAATATAGTCCTGAAGGGCTGTATCAAGCATGACGAGATCAGTGAGGAAGGTACCAAGATAAGGCACTGTGCCTTGCATTACTCCCTGCAAATGATCAGAGCAATGTGGGATTAATTGGATGAGAAATGGTAATAATTAGAACACTAGAATACTCCTGCATAAGACAATGAAATAGAAGTAGTCTGCTTAACCAAACAGTGGTCTTATAAATCGTGTTTTCTTTCATTACATCATCCTCAGTATCTAATCTAGAATCTAAATCAAATTCTAATGAGAGCATGATGGTCTTGCAAACATTGCCAGGTGGGTTTATATTGCAGTATTGCCACTGTACTCTGATTTCTAACAGCAGGTCACCAGGAAACCCTGCCTGGGAAGGGGCACTGAGCACCAGGGACAAGGTCCCTCAGTTACAAGCTACCAGAGAAGGAGCTGGGTGCTGGTGCTGGCTGGGGAATGGTCCTGGCCAGCCTGCGTAAGCAGTTTCTATGCTTCATTCTGGTGGATTTTTACTTAATGATGTCATTTTACCATGTGACAGATCATGTCAAATCAAGGCAGTTTTTTTCCTCCAAGTGACCATCTTCCCCAGCCATTCATGGCATTTTAATAGCTATTATTCAAATCTTAAACTTTCTAGGCTGCTAGCAGTCGTAGAGTTCAAGTTGCTTCTACGCTTGTGAAGGAAATGCTTGTTTCTTCCGACCAAAAGGATCCATCTTCATTCTGGTGGATTTTTACTTAAAAAACAAAAACAAAAAACAAACCAACAAAACAAAACCCAAACACATATGCAGCACTTTTGCCTCCCTATCCCAGATTTCTCTCCCCCTGGCCTTTTAAATCTTTGCCAACTTTGAGACAAAAGCCATTTTCACCAGCAGACTGGAAAGCGGACACATTTTACAAAGCCATCTCTGTAGAAGTCTGTGCAGTTCTCAAGCTGGTACGTCAGAAGCTTCATGAACTTGTTTGAAAGTAAATTATTTTTCTGCTCTGGCCAGAGCTCATTTTCCTTATCACAAGAATTCCAGTATTTACATTACATATTTTACTACATAAAAATTGTGTGGCTTTCCCTGTATTTCTCTCTAAAGGGTAACAAGAGTAGGTAATGGAGTTCTTTATTGCGAGATAGAAACGGGATGACGAGTTTAGAAAATTTCTGGAAGACTTGAAACTAAAGCCAAAACAGCTGGAGGCCCCAGAGCTGGACCCAGCAGAGGGGCAGAATCCCCTCCCTCGACCTGCTGCCCATGCTGCTCTTGATGCAGCCCAGGATGTCAGTGGCTTCTGGGCTCCGAGTGCACATTGCTGGCTTATACTGAGCTTACACGTGCACACGATACATAGACACACACAGTACTACCTGCTTACTCTGACCCACAGCAGGAAGGAAACAACTTCGGCATGTATTCAGAGACAGGCTGAATATCCAGTTCAAACTTTTTGGTTCACTTGCTTTGTGTCAGCTAATCGATAGCACTGATGTGTTTTTCTTGACAGAGGGTACAAACAAGAGCATCACCTACTGCACACTCACTCACTGCCTTTCTAGAGTTTGCTTCTTATATAATTCACCAATTAGGGTTAATCATGTTACCAGTTCAAAAAGGGGAGGAAAAGGACCCCAAACACACCATATCTTTTTGAAGTTGCAGTCGCCTCTGAGTCCTTTTCTGATTTTCTTTCACACTGCTGTCCAGATTTGCAAATTTGGAAGTTCCTTCCTGTAAGTTAAAAAGGAATTAAAGACAATTAATGGAGGAACTAAGTGGTAAGCTGTCAACTAGGGAAGCTAGGACTAGGGCAGTGATGGTCCTCTTCTACTCAGCGCTGGTGGGGCTGCACTTCAAATACTGGGTTCAGTTTTGGGCCCCTCACTACAAGGAGGACATTGAGGAGCTGGAGTGTGTCTAGAGAAGGGCAACAAAGCTGGTGAAGGGTCTAGAGCACAAGTCTTATGAGGAGCAGCTGAGGGAACCGGGGTTGTTTGGCCTGGAGAAAAGGAGGCTCAGGGGAGGCCTTGCTCTCGGCAACTCCCTGAAAGGAGGCTGTAACCAGGTGGAGGTTGGTCTCTTCTCACAAGGAACGAGGAAATGGCCTTAAGTTGCGCCAGAGGAGTTTTAGGTTGGATATTAGGAAAAATGTCCTCCCCAAAAGGGTTGTCAAGCCCTTGCCCAGGCTGCCCAGGGCAGTGGTGGACTCCCCAATCCTGGGGGGATTTCAAAATCGTGTAGATGTGGTGTTGAGGGACATGGTTTAGTGGTGCCTTGGTAGTGCTGGGTTAATGGTTGTACTTGATGATCTTAAAGGTCTCTTCCAACCATAAACGATTCTACGATTCTATGATACTAACTACCTTTGTGTAAAATAATTGCAAATACATTTAACCAGGCATGCTAGCCAGTAAAAACGTTTGTGGTGCAAGTACATGCAGGTGTACACACATGTGCTCATTTTCTGGGACTTGCACACTGATAAAATCCCACAAGATGATTATAAGGTAATTTTTCTACAAAATGGTTCTACTCTGGATAAAAGTGCTGTCAAAAATCTCCCAAGAGTTTAAATAGAGAAGCTTATATATAAATAGGATACATAAAAGCTCAAATACACGTACCTGATACACTCCAGGTAGCCAGATGCTTCCCTGAACTCTATCCTGACACTCTTGACCTCAGGATTTCTGTTTGATCTCCTAATCAGGCCTGCTACAAGTAAACGTCTCTATCTTATGTAATGCTTTTTTTTTTCTTATGCCACAACACAGAGGTCCAGCAACTATCCTCTGTGGCTTACTGACTAATCCAAAATACGCAGGAAATGAAAGGAATAGGTCTTCATCTCCACAGTTCAAGCTTTCCTGGGAATGGCTGAGGTATTTCACAATAGCTCTGTAGCTTTTATTTGCCTGGCTCCATACGGGTTGCTGGGAGTGACTTATTTTTTTTCCAGCAGTTGGATATATGGGGAATAAATCATTGTCAATGTGTTTTTAAAAGGCACTAAACAAGATCTGCTCATTACAACACTTACTTCTCCCAGTCAAGGCTAATGAACAGATCACTCAGACTGTATTTCCTTCCTTGGCTGAAACACGGGAGCAAGGGAAAAAGGAGTGTTGTGCTGATGTCTGCAAGATACTGAAAGGTGAACTGGAGAATCCCTAACAGCAGCCAGCAGGCAGGCACAGAAGCTTCAGGTGCAGCTTTCAGCAGAGCTGTCGTTTGGGGAGGAGACAACATAGCTCCCTCTCTGTGTCAGCCAACCTGTTTCATACAGCACTTTGTCTACACTATGCTTAAATTTGCAGGATGGACAGGCAAGGTCAAACACAGCTTCCCTAGACAGACTACTTACAGTGAAGGAAAATAAAGCCTTTAAGGGTTCAGTGGGCATTAATCCTACAATCATTACAAAATGGTACAAGACAAGAAGTAGGAGAGAGGGTTCTAGCTACTCTGTGGAATTTTTCTCCTCACTGCTTTCAAAACATTTTGCAAAACCTACTTAGGGCAGCTGGGGAGAGTGATTTGCTGGGAGCCAGAAGGTCCAGGCTCAGGCTGAGTTGTCGTGTTGCCTTTTTAATATTTAGTTAAATAAGTTGTTCTGAACGCTCATTTTCCTCCTATGCTTATTATTGTCTCACCTTCTTTAAAAATTGATCTATAGATATTGATAAGTGGACGATAAACAAAACAGATTAACAGGTTTGAATGTATTCACCCGTCATTTCTGAGCAAAACACAGCTTTTCAGATACCAAGTCAAGGGAGTAGGGTACAAATGCCAGATTGACTGGACAGAACTGCCAAAAAAAGTAACTGGTTAGCCAGTTTATAGAAACTTTTCTACATAAACAGAAAAAAACTGTCACAAACATTCCTTAGTTTCTACAGAATATAACCGTTCCCTGCTATTCTTCCTCACTCCTTTCAAGCTCCTGAGGTTGTTGGGGTTCACTCAGGAGAGCACACCAGTCAAACTGTTTCAGACAGAGCCTGCTTTGTTGTCCATCTGGCCACACACAGCGCAGGAAGCCTGTTCCTTCAAAATTCCCAGCTCTGTTTTCTAGTTCCAAGCAAGGTACGGGATAGCTGGATAAACATCTTGGTTTAATTCTTCAGCTGAAGCTGAGTGGCATTGTTCCAGTGAAGTCAAAAGTGCTACAGTGGTGCAACCCAGCTGAGAATCTCATTTGGAGCTGCTCTGGACTCACCAGGCTTTCCAGGTCTGGTTGGTGGGTACACAACCCAGCAGTTCCTCTCACCGTACAGAGCAGTATAAAGCCAAAGTGCTGATTGTAACTCTTCTCAGTACAATGGCACTGGGCAGCACCTCTTCACTCTGGTTGTGGCTCCAGCACTGTCACAGGTACAATACTGTGCACACAGCTACTCTTCAGCTAGACATCGCCATGCCCAAGGGAGTGGTACCAGTTACCTCCTACAGCAGCATGATGTTCAGCTCGAGGGCCTCCAAGGGCTCCTGACCAGATGTCTTGTGAACAAGTCCACACAGAATCTGTGCTGCTGCAACGGGCTGTATGTGGGCATCCAAGCTCTACAGGCTAATGCTAGTGCAGGTTTATAGAATCACAGAGTGGTTTGGGCTGGAAGGGACCTCCAAAGGTCACATCTAGTTCCAAACCCCCTGCAGTCAGCAGGGACATCTGCAACTAGAGCCGATTGCTCAGAGCCCTGTCCCTCCTCACCTGGACTGTTTCCAGGGATGGGGCAGCTACCACCTCTGTGAGCCCCTTTAAATACTGAAAGGTTGCAATAAGGTCTCCCCAGAGCCTTCTCTTCTTCAGGCTGAACCACCCCAACTCTCTCAGCCTGGCTTCACAGCAGAGGGGTTCCAGCCCTTGGATCATTTTTGGGGCCTCCTCTGGACTGACGTCAACAGGCCCATTTTCTTCTTGTGTTGGGAGCTCTGGTGCTGACACAGCACTGCAGGTAGGGTCTCACCAAAAGAGAGTACAGGGTCAGAATCACCTCCCTTGATCTGCTGGTTCCTTCAGGGACAACAAAGTCACCTCTCATTCCAGCAGAAAATCACAGGTTTTACAGACCTCTCTTTCCTGAAGCACTGCATACAGTAGTTCAGGGAGGGATGAGCTTTGGCAGCTGGTTAGGAAAAGGGCTAACCTCAGCTTTGATGGAGATCACAAGCCTTGCAACTCAAGCCAATGCTCACCTTCATCAGCAGCTCCCTGCTTGTCAAATAATTGTCATGGTCTGAGAAGATATCAGACAGCTCTTCAAACATCAGCATTGTGTCCCTGTACAGAAAAAGATTAAATCATTTAGGTTATCTGTAAGCATTTAAAATCAGATCAGATTATTATTTTTTCCTCATTAATCAGTTAGGCATATAAAAGATTACACCACCAAAACACATCCAGTGAGATGCTGCACATCTACTAGGAACCTTCCTGGCATCTTCTGGTTCTTCCAGTAAGGTCAGGCATTATTTGACAGTATCACAAAGAAATGCCATAGGCATGCACACCCTAAGAAGGGCTTATGCTGCAGGATAGGAGACTGTTGTAAGAAAGTGGGTAAATGGATCTAAAGGAACAGGAAAACAGCTGTGAGAGGTATTCCGAGCACTTCATTTTTGCCCTGCTCTGTGCAGTCTGTAAAGCTAGAAGCATTGCAGAGGATGAGTCCCTTTCTGTTGCCCAACACTACACACACAAGCTGGTAGTATTTTGATCAGGAACAGGGACACGGGGCAGCGGAAGGAAAGGCCCACCTCCCTCTAGGGGAAATGCAGGCGTATACTGCGTGGCAGTGACATTTTCCTTTGTTTATCAAAGGCAGAGGAAAGGAAACTATTCTTCCCGAACTGCACGAGCAGAAAACCATCTTTCCTACGCTGACATCTCTGGTGTCTGGTGTGCAGTAAATGTACCAGCTGCACAAGACATTCCTGTAAGAAATACTGTCTTCAATACAGATTTGGATTTGTAGTCTGGGTATATATTTTAAGGAAATGTCAGGAGCAGAAGAGGATTAGTGACGGTTTGTAGCAACCTGGACTTCCTCCAGCTTCAGAGGAGAGAATACAACAGGCAAGTGTCATGGTGCTCTTTTGCTGATGTTCCGAGAACAGTGTGCATGAGCTGGGCGAGTAGCTAGTCCCACAGTTTTTCAAAATAGGTTGTGGAAGATCCAATATGCTGTAAGGACAGAAGAGCCCCAGCATCCCCACGGGCAGGTTCGCCCCTCAGTATAACAGAGAAGCTCACAGCAGTCAGACCCAAAAAAAAAGGGTCTGAGCATCACAGGAATAAGAGGTTCTTCTGAGACAACAGATGTCCATGAAGGAGGAGAACAGGAAGACCGAGAAGAACAAGATGAAAACAAAGAGCACTGAGCTTTTTGTCCTTGTTTGGGGCTAGCCAGAGGAGCGGAGGGAGGGGAGGCTTACTTTGGAACACACGCCCAGGACTTCTTGAGCCGATAGATGGAGTTGGACTGCAGTGCTGAAATGATGGCCCTCAAGGAGGAAAAATTCTTCAGGATCCTACATTCCTGTGAAAGGAGTGGTTAAAAATACAGGAGCATTAGAAGTCAGCATTATGAATACAGTACTGCTCTTCTGTTTGACCAATGTCTTGCTTGCTACACATTCTCACTGCTAAGCAGGCAGCTGTGCAAATACTGACTATCAAAAATACTACTCCCCCCTCCAGACACCAAACACTTTATGGGCTTTGGCACTTTTGTCTTGTTTTCCTCTCTTTCATGTAATTGTGGTCATGTTGTAGTGTTACAGCTTCTAGTTCTAGTAAAATTAAAAATGGAACTGAGTCCACAAAGTCAGGCTGAAAAGCACAAATGTTACACTTCTTAAAAAGCTTCTCATAGTTACAAATCCCTTTTATCCTTTCAGGGAAAAATGAGGCTTTTCCTCTTTGTATGTGGTATTCAAAAGGTAAACCCTCAATCATCTAAGTGTTAATTAAAAATAAAGACACGCAAAGGAATAACCTGTTATTCAAGTTATTCATAACCATGTGTATGTGCACACTGTTAAGGAGAAAAACCTTTGCAGCTTTTCCAGAGTTGGGGTCAAATCCTAACAGGTTCATAGACATTTTTTATGTAGCTTCTCTTGGCAAAACTTCTGATGGAAAAGGATACTGAAAAACTTAATTATCAAAAAAACAGCACAGATTTCTGATAAAGCAGGGGGAAGCAAGGAGAGTAGGGAGTGTCTGACCTGTGACTCTTCAAAGAACTCCTGTAGGTCTGTTGGTGGCTCGTGAACTAGAGCATGGGCACCACAGACTTAAATGCTGGCAAAGACAAGTTCTTACCAACAGGTGTCTTTACATGCAAATTCAGCAGAGAAGGAATGCCAATTTGATGGCTGCATGGAGATGAGAGTGTATTCAAGCTACAATTCCATTTCTGCAAGGTTTTATGGGGCCCATTATTACACTAATAGTGCTGGTTATGTAAAGGAACCTTACAGTGAACACAGACGTGATTTATTTCCTTCATAGGACAGAACAAATGCAAAATGGCCTCAGCATAAACAAAAGTCAGACTGATATATCTGTTCATGAGTTGCATAATAACTGGCTGAACAACTAAGGCAAGTACATTTACTCCCATTTACGTACCTCAAAAATAAATAAATTTTTGTGTGTGTGTGACTTCGGTGGCTACATTTAATAAAGTGTGGGTTAGGAAGACTGACTGGGCAGACAGCACTAGAAGCAGGTTGGCAGCTAGGCCAGATAAAGATCAAGTTCAAGGTCATGTGGTAAGACATAGAAGACCTGAAAGCTATTCTTGCATGGTTTGGGGCCAAAGAAGCCACGTAACAGCTCTTCTTCAGAGACTGACACGTTTAAGAATGAGGCCCTACCTTCTTTATTTTCAACTTGAAATTCAGGCTGGGAAGAACCCAGATTTAGAGACACACATTCTCAGCATTTTTTTTGCCCCAATATAACAGGAGTTTGCACTGGAAGATCCAATCTGGACCATCTTGACTTAATTGCACGTTGCATAATTTAAAGCACATTAGGAATTCGATATTGGATATTGTGCTCTCAATGATTTAACGGACTATAGACTATACCAAGCTTTCATTTGTATGTCAGAAGACTGGTTGGAATAATTTTGTTTCATGCTGTGTCCTTCACAAGGGGAAAACCACAAAGAATCCTGTGCAGAAGCAACTTTGATTTTAAAAAATTAAGCATAACAGGATATTAATGATTTCATTTATACTTTTTGTTTTTAAAGAAAATATTGTGTGAGTGAAACTGGCTGCTCCTGCTCAGGAACCTTAGATCTAGGTGGAGCAGAGAGGAATGGTGGTTAGAAAAAATACTCAGTTTATCTTGAAAACCAAGAAACTGGACCCAAAAGGCATGAACAGATAACAAATGTGGAACTCCTTGCTGCCAAGTTACAGAGTTAGCTGTCAGCGAATAACTGCACTTTAATGAGGGGATTACTTTCTAATTCAGACATCTAACTATTCAAAATGCTCATTTGCATGCACAAAGCAAGCAGCTTTCTCCAGAAGTGGGCAGCTAAGTATATACACAAGTAGCTGTTCTACATGTGCTAGTATTTTGTAGAACGTGCACATGCATTTTTCATGCACTTGGCTCAGACTGAACTATTTAATTATGTGTATGAATTAAGGGAGAAGCATTGAATCATCAGAGGTGGAGAACAAAGTTCTCCATCCACAGAACGTGTATGGTAAGTGTGGTGTCTGTCCTGGCTTCCCAGGATGAGCAGGAAGCTGCTTTGGACTGCTTGCCCAGGCTGCAGCCCAGTCTATCCCACAAAGGCCACTTTAGGTGGTACTCTCTGCAGTCTAAAGATTTGAACACAGAAAATAGGAATCAAACTTCCTAATCTGTTCACATGGGCTATAAAGCAGCCATCAGTTGATAACAAAAATGAGTCAACGTAAGTGCCAAAAGAGAAGTGAAAGACTGCTTCCCCATACCAGTTTCCTGACCCATGCAGTTGCTGGAGCTTAGGTGCCAGGACTAACAATAGTGCCTCTGGAAGCACAGAAGCTCATTGTCAAGGCTGGAAAGCCTCTGTTTGGCTTGAGCTTTTTATGACTGCTTATTTTGTGTAGCTCAGAAAGAATCCATGTGATTCTTAAAACAGAAGTCAACATGCATCCATATTAAAGTGCTTTAATGGTCTCTTCAAAAGAGAGATCGAGTTTAGTGCCAGCTGCCCAGTGCTCTGAAGGGGAGTTACAAAGATTACAGTAAAATATAAAGATAAAATCTTAGAAATTAGGAAACTCGGGTTACGTAAAGAAGGCACACGAAGCCCTCTCACGCAAAGATAAAGATACACCTAATCTGCTGCAAGACAAAGGAATCAAAGTGAAGACTAAAAATGTGTTCAAGAAACACGCAAGACAATGGAAAAGCAGAAAGGTCCCAAGATGAGGAGACTGGTGTCATATTGTAAGTGTACTCATTTTTTCTTGTCACTGCTTGCACCTCTATTTCCCTCCAAACCCAGCTGGTTTGTACATCTGATGTAAACTGTGAATAACTCAGTAGGCAAACGACCTGTCAGCCTCAGGAATCTTTCAAAACAAAAGAGCACAAACGATAATTTCATTTTCTCCATGTTAAAGAGGCTGCTGCTACCTAGAAGTCAGTCAGCTTTTTCTGCACTTACTTAAAACCTTGTGTTTACTTTACTTTCATACATAGATACATATATAAATGTATGAAGACATAAATAGTTGGGCTGTCTTCCACCATATCCTATTTCAACTCCCGTGGTGTTCACAGATGCAGGGGTGGGAGCGTGATATCAGGGACTGAACGCGAACAGCCAAAGGCAGGTAAGCACAAATCTTACTCTGCCTGCACCACTGCCAGGCTGACTCCATCCTTATTAAACTTTCCTCTGAAAACAGATCTAACCTTCAGGTGCTATCCACCATCACTTCACTTCTTTCACTGATAGGAGCAGTATTTCCTTCCTAGGCAAGTGAACTTGTTGAATTTTTACCTCTCTTATCATAAATGTTACTTATCAAGTATATGGCACTCCCCATCTGGCAAGACACAGAATATGCCTCACTCATTAATTAGCACCCTCAACCCTGTGAAGAGAGAACTATCATCAGTCTCATTTCCATGGTGGGGAAGGAACTATGGAGAGGAAGGGCAATACTTCATCTGCTATTACAAAGAAAGTCAGTCAAAAATAGAAAGAATTAGAGCTTAGACATTCGCTGGCGTGGGACCAATGCATACAACTCTTTTCTCCCCTCCCAACTCTCTCCCTCTGAAGAACCCGCACAAGAAACATTAAACAGTCTAAACTTAATGACTTACATGTGCAATATGAATCCACTTCTCAATGATGTTGGCTCTTTGCTGTGTTTTCAGCTCCTTGCTCTTCAGGATAGTGCTAACAACACATTTGGTAACTGCATTGAACTGAAAGATGGTGGCTTTGATAGTAGCTACCAGGTGCTTGTTTTCTTGTTTATCCCTTCGAGACCAGATGGATCCCAAACAGTGGTGGGCTACAACTTTCTTAAAGAGTTCCTGGAGTGAAATAGAAGTGTCTAGTCAGCAGGATTCTCCTAGATCTCTATCATCCACAAGAAGAATTGCATGTTTACAGTACAAATTGGATCTAAATCTAATGTGGTATTAATACAGTCAAAATGCACTATTTCTCAGGTGCTAACTGTTAAACTTCACAAAAAAAGGCTACACACTTTGAAAAAAAATACCCAGCAAACCTTCAGAATGACTGAAATAAAAAAGCCCAATGAATGAAGCACGTTTGGATAACCAAGCAGGGCTGTGTCCTGTGTCCCAACAACAGACCAGTTAGGACCTATAGACCACTGGGTTATATTGACATAATTTAAAAACCGTTTCAGAAGCCCAGTACTATTTCCCCTAGTACTCCAAGTAGTACATATACTTTACACACCGCATCCATGTATGTCAGCTGTTCTGCCACACGGTCTTCTGGGAATAAAGAGAACTCTTCTGGACTGCTCATCTCCAGTTCCTCTTCATCATTTAGGTTACAGAGTGAAGGGTTATAGAACCCACCTGTCCAGGACAGAAAACATGACTTAGTAAATCTATACAGCAGTGAATCCAAGCAGATGTTTGTTTCTTTTAAAACATCACTGTGTATATTATAACAGAACGTCCAAAGAGTCCTACCTGATCTAACAGTCCCACTGTGCTGCATATTTTAGTGAGAAAGATGATGACCAGAAGATTAAATTGGCAAAGAAAAGGTAGAATAAAAAGAAACAGAGAATTGAGCTGTTTAGGGTCTCTTAGTGGAGAGCTGGCTTAACCCATTTATTAACCATTTTTCTGAAGAAAAAACACCACCACACCCCAATAAAAATTAACATTGCGAAATTTTGTCAATCTATTTTTCAGCATTTATGCATTTTATGTGAAAAAAAAAATATTAAACTGCAAAGGGGCAAGACTGCAGTTATATCCCCAAAATACTGCGTTAGGAATGCTCTTATATCCAGATTTCATCTCCCATGTGTGGAATAAAAGGAGATATCAGATTTCTTGGCAGTGTTTGTGGCTACATGGACTATACTGAAGGGAGTTTATTCCAGCATCCTTCATCTTCCTTCTCTGGGAGTTTTTCCCAGAAAAGGAAATAGAGTGAACACCTACAGCATTTAGCTGCATACTGCTTCTAAATTTGCGCTGGGCAGGAGTGAAGAGGTGAGAGAGCAGAGCTGTCTTCATCGAGGGACCCCATCCCATGCAGAAGGGAAGAAATTGCACAGATGTTCCCATGTTACCTTTTGGCTCCCACAGGTTGGGAACAAAGCCACATTAAAACACAAAGAAATATGCCCTTGTTTCCCATGGTGGAGGAGGAAGTCAAACAGAAAATCCTTGAAAATAAATCCTCCTCCTAATCCCTTTTCCCGTAAGAGGACAGTAACTCCATAAGAATGGAGAAGGAAAAAAAAGACTTAAGTACTGAGTTTACTGCTATGGAGATTTCATTAAGAAAAGCAAGCAGCGTTTCAGAGTATGTTAGGCAATACTTCATGCCCAATTAACGCAGAACAGACATTAAAGCAACAAAAGCAGATAAAGTGATACTTCATCACTGGTTTTCAAAATACTTCATTTTTCCTTTCTTTGTTAGTTAGCAAAACCTAATCACCAATATAAATTGCTACAGTTTTGATGTAACAAATTCCAACTCCAGGCTGTATCCAGATTTCCATCTGTACATTCCAATTGTACAATTTATTGACAGAGCTACATGCAATAAATGGAGACCTCTGTTCCAGCATTATTTTTCTGTGGCTGTTTTGTAACAATATGCATAATTCAGTGGACTTCTGCTGAACTGTTACCAGAGTCACACTTTTTTCTCTCTCTTTTTCAGCTGTGTAACTCCTCATTTTCTTTCAGCTTTTGAAATTCAACTGCAAGTCCTCATCACCGAGTTGCAACCCTACTCAAAAACTCACAGCACCCATAAAATCAGGTGCTGGAGTGCAACGCAAGATTTTCCTTTCCTATTTTCATGCCACTTTCTCCTTTCTCTCTCACCTTCATAAATTTATAACCAGCTTTTCCCTACTCTCCAAGAAGCTGCAATCCTCTTGTAGTCAAGTATCCCATCATCTTCAAACTGCTCTGATACATTTAGCCCTCTCAAAGCCCAGCTGCCCCCTTGGCTTCCCTGAGAGCAACCACGTGCCCCTTCTGAGTTTGCAGTTGCTGACTCACTTTGCATTGTATTGCTCAAGCTGCAAGAACTGAGGCCAGGAACAGCTCTTATCTATGTATCTGGTAGTGCAATCTAATCTATTGGCATGACTGAATGGAGATCTGATTATACAAATCAAACTGCAGGATTAGGACCCAAATTTTTAAATTCATAGCACAATATGAGTGCTTTAGAACAATAATTATCAGCAAGAGTTAACGTGTTGTCTGTCATCAGGAGTTTTGAAAGAAATGTCTGAAGTGAACAAAGGTGGAGCTCTGATAAAGTGACAATTAGAAAATTCTTCTCTGCAGACCCTGTAGGCTAATTGTGTTCTCCTCCTCTGATTTTATTCTAATTAACAGCCTCTATTCTGCCACAACTTGGAAAATATTGTAACTCAAACTGACCCACCTACAGCTCAGAAAAGAACCTTTTCAATGGTTACTTGAGGAAACCAACACAGAATCAGAGCTGCCAGGAACTTCTGTTCGCTTTGAACAGATGAACCCAGACACAGCTCTTGTGAGCTGTCTTTGGCTGACCCGTGGGAGTCAAACCCAGGAGAGGACATCAGTGGGCCCATATGAGCAATGCTGTTGGCTTACCTGTGTCCCATAAGGAAAATGCCCTGGGCTCTGTGCTGTACACCTTGTTGGGTACGTGTTAATGACAAAGTCAGTTTGGCATTTCACAGCATTATGCATTGACACGGTACTTCTGGAACATCCGGCAGACGTTATTTTTATGGGATGAAATGTTTTCTTTTGTGTCATTTCCTTTATCCTTTTTCACATTAATTATTCCCTCTTGCCCCTCTGTCAAAGCTGGAAGGTGATTCTAGTTCTCATTCACACACTACAGGAGCTCCTATGACTTTCCAGCTTATGCCACAGAAGCTTTCTGACCAGGACAAGGGTACATGTCAGGCTTGAGGCTGCACACGGCATAGCTGTGGTGCCACAGTTCACTATTGTTTCAGTAGATTGTGACCCCCAATAACGTAAGTTTTTCCTCTGTCCTTGGATACCAGCAACCAGCCACTCAAATAGGAAAAAACAGCCACAGACACTTCCTTTGACATGATGGTAACTAGGAAGAAAAGCTTCATGACAACAAAGCTTCTGACTCAAGCTGTATTTTGTCACTGCTCCTTATTTCACTTTTTGTTGGTTTGAGCTTTTCTTGGAGGGGAGGGGGTGTTGATATTTGAAATGAGAAGACCAGCTAAAGAGCAGCTGTGTGTTTTAATTCAGTGACATAGGAAGTACACTGACAATTAACCACTTAGCTGCTGCAGCAATCTCAGAGCTTTGGCTAAGCACTAGAGAAGTGCTGGATTTCCCAACCCCCCCGGAACAAACATGTGTAGGCACCTACATTGTACCATTTCATCCTGCATAGAACCTGTGGCCTCATACAGAGATTTGGTTTTTTTTAAAAAAAAAAAAAAGAAACAAGAATAAAGTCACTGGTGAGTATCTAGTGTCAATTAGCATAAGAGTTAATGAAATGTGCTCCACATCAGTCCCTGTGGTACTATGCAGTTTAGGAGAACAGAAAGACAGAAGGGAAAGGTAACTCACTACTGTTTTCCACTTCTTGGTTCTGGAACTGCTCCAGGAGGTTCTGTGCCCTCCTCTCCGGGTCAGAGCCAGGTATATGCTTCTTCAGGTAATCCAGCAGCTTCAGCAAGCAGGGGTGGTTGGGTGGCTCTCTGAAATCCTCAGAGCACTGATTGAGCCAGGCTCGCAAGATTGATGCTATCGCACTAAGAGCAAACAGAGAGAGAACACGCTGGTTGTACAGGGCACGGACTGGTGCAACCCTCTGCACTCCCATCTAATACAGCCATGACAACACCGGGACGGCCCTACCCCACGTGAAGGCAGTACAAGACTTTTTTGAGCAAGGAATTTGTTCTTTTCTTGCATGGAATCTTATTAAGGTATCACTCACATTGCCAGGGACTTTAATGCAGTTGCTCCTGATTTGCACTTCTGGATCCAATTATATCCCCCAAATCACTCACATTGCCAGGGACTTTAATGAAGTTGCTCCTGATTTGCACTTCTACAAGTGGATCCAATTATAGCCCCCAAATGCAAACTAATAAAGAATTAAGCCCATGGAAACTGTACTGAGGTTTGCCCTCTTGGTGCCAAGGCACACTGCTGGCTCCTGTTGAGCTGTTGCCCACCAGCATGCCCAAGTCCCTTTCTGCAGGGCTGCTCTCCAGCCACTCCTCTCCCAGTTTAGACTTTCCCAGCATTACTGCATCCTCGGTGCAGAATCCAGCATTTGGACTTGTTAAATTTCATCCCATTTGTCACTGCCCAATGCTCCAATCTATCTAGATCCCTCTGAAAGGCCTCCAGTCCCTCAAGAGTCACCAACACCTCCTAGTTTGGTATCATCAGCTAACACCCTAAGGGTACGTTCAACTCCTGCATGCAAACTATTGATAAATATACTGAACAGCACTGGCCTGAGGATTGACCCCTGAGCAACATCACTGGTGGACTGGTTGCTAGCCAGACATAGCCTCATTCACTACAACACTTTGAATGCTGCTCTTTAGCCAGTTCTTCACCCAGTACACTGTCACCTCGCTCATCCCACAGTTGGGCAACTTATCCAGAAGGATGCTAAGAGGGACAGTATCAAAAGCCTCAGTAAAATCCAGAAAAACTACACCCACTACCTTCCCTTCATCCACTGGATAGGTGACCTTATCCCAGAAAGTCATCCAATTAGTTAGGACTTTCCCTTTGCAAACCCCTGTTGACTGCACACGATGATCACATTGTTCTTTAAATGTCTTTTGGTAGTACCTAGTATCATCTTCATAACTTTTCCAGGTTCTGAGGTCAGGCTCACAGGTCTGTAGCTCCCTGGGTCTTCCCTCACACCCTTTTTGTAGATCAGAATAGCAATGGCCAGCTTCCAGTCAGCAGGGACCTCCCCAGACTCCCTAGGCCTTTGGTAGATGACTGAGATGGATCCTGCTGTAACATTCTGACAGCTCTTTCAGGACTCTGGGGTGAATCCCATCAGGTCCTATGTGAACATTCAGCTAATACAACTGGTTCCTTAAAACTTTAGTGTCCACAGATAGAAAGTCATTGTTCCTGCAGTCATGGTCCTCTTACTCAGGGGACTGGGCAGCCCCAGGTCTACCAGTACTACTAAAGATTGAGGCAAAAAATGCATTGAATGCCCTTGCTTTTTCTTCATCTCTATTAGTCAGATGATTATCTTCAACCAGTATCAGTCCAACGTTCTCTTTAGACCTCCTCTTGCTATTAACAAGAAGGGCTCTTTTAAGTATGTTATCTGAAACAACACTGGCCAGATTCAACTGTAATTGAGCCTTGGCCTTTTGTGTCTTCTCCCTGCCTATACAAACCACAGCTCTGTACTCTTCCTGTGAAGACTGACCTCACTTCCAGAGATTATACAGTTTCTTTTTCCTCTTGAACTCCATGAGGAGTTCCCTGTTCAGCCAAGCTGGCTTTCTGCCTTGCTCGCTTGACTTATGACACACTGGAATTGCCTGCTCCTGTGCTTCTAAAACATGGTTCTTAAAGACTGACCAGCACGTGTGGACTCCTAAGCCCTCAAAAGCCCTAATCTTCCCAGGGGGTTGTGCTACGTAGCTTCCCAAATAACTTAAAGTTTGCTTGCCTGAAGTACAGGGTAGCAACTCTCCTGTCCTTTTTTCTCATTACACTGAAAATTTTAAACTCAACCATTTCATGGTCACTGTGGCCAAGACAGCCACCTACCATCACGTCCCGCACGAGTTCTTTTCTATTCACAAATAACATGTCTAGGAGGTCATCTTTTTTTCTTTTTTTCCCCACAGGTACTTACTGAGTACCTGTGACAAGAAGTTATCTCCTACAAACTTCAAGACCTGCATATGAGAGCAGTATGATATTGCCAGTTGATGCCTGGGAATTTGAAATCTCCCATGATGATAAGGGCTACTGATCCAGAGATTTCTCCTAAATGCCTACATCCCATCTGGGCAATCAGCAGTAGACGCACAGTATAACATTTCCTTTGTTTCCCATCTCCATAGTCCTCACCCAGAAGCTCTCAACCACGTCACTAACAGTAAGGGTTGCATCATCAAACCTCTCCCTTACATATAGTGTGACACCTCCATCTCGCCTGCCCGGCGTACCCTTCCCGAACAGCCAGCACACCTCCATCCCAGCACTCCAGACAGGGGACTCGTTCCACCAAGTCTCACTAATACCAATGATATCATGGCTCTGGGAAGCTGACCAACACTTCCAGTCCATCCTGTCTGTTTCTCACCCTGCGTGCGTTGGGGTACAAGCATTGCAGATACGCTCCAGAGCCCCTCGTGCTCCCAGGAGCAATGTAGATGTTCCCAGTAGGTTGCTGCTCTCCAGCACGGCCACACCAGCCCTTGGCTTTTCTGCTGCAGCCCTGTTGGTACCCTCTTCCCTCAACGATTCTAATTTAAATCTGTCTCGATCAGCCCTGTCAGCTTACACCCAGAGACCTGTTTTCCTCATTGGGACAGATCAATCCCATTGGGCCTCAACATACCTTGTGCCTTGAAAGCTCTTCCATGGTTTAAACCCCCAAAGTTTCAGTAGAGGCACCACTCCTGGAGCCACGTATCGACATCCTGGGCTCACCCGTTTTCTTCCAAAATCTTCCCCCATTGCTGGGAAGATTAAGGAAAGTACTACCTATGCTTTCATATATTTTAGCATTCTTCCCAGGGTGCTGAATTCTGTTTTGATTGACCTCAGGCTTTGTGTTGTGGCATCATTTGTACCCATATGAAAGAGCAGAAATAGATAGTATTCTGAAGGTTGAACTAGGCTCTTTAGTCTTGCAGTGATATTCCTAATTCAGGAGCCAGAGAGGCATCAAACTTCCCTGAAAAGAGGGTCTGGTCTGCAAATGGGTGTTTCTGTTCTGCACAGGAGGGAGTCACTAATGGCCGTAACTGACAGTTGTTTCCTCTCAGTGCTGGTCTTAATGCAGGTCTTGTTGCAAGGAGTTGGTCTCTCGGATCTTGGCAAGACTGCTTGTGAGGGTTCCTCCTCTTTCTCATTATACCATACCCAGGGCCTCGTACCTGTTCTGTAAGGGTTTCTTAGAGAGTAAGGTGTTTCTCTTACTGCTCCAATGCTGTAACCTTCTTCTACTCCTCTGCATGCCTTGTGACACCCCCCTTCCTCCTGGCACAAAGCAGATCCAGGACCTGCCTCCACAGTGGCCACACTGAGCCGGCTTCTATCCACCATACATGTGCGTCTCCATTGACCAATCTCCTTCTCAGACTCTTGAATACTCCTCTGTCTGTCTACCTCTGCCTGCAGCTCAGGCACCAAGCAGAGCAGTTCATCGTCCAGTCACACTTTCCACAGTCCTGCCTGCAATCACTTTCCACCTCTAGGAATATCCCTTCACACATCCCAGGTGGTTGCATGCTTGAACAGGAGCTCTGCCTTGGTTCTACCAGGTGCTGGAAGCTCAGGAGAAGCACAGGACACTGTTTTGCCAGATGGTCCTGCTGCTGCACACTTGACCGCTGAGAAGTATCTATCTCCTGCACTATCCATTGCAGTCAGCTGGGCTGACTGTTTTCTCCTGCTTAAAGGTCCCACACTGGCAGGTGCAGGCTCTGTACCTTGTGGTCTCTTCCAGTCAGTGGAGCTGGGGTCAGTTCCCAGGGAAACTGTTGAGTCAAACCTCTACTTATCCACGTGTCTCTCTCCTGGCGTGTCCTGCCCTTGCCAATGGTCCTGGCTCTGCTCCGGCACGCGTAGCAGTCGGTAAGGACAGAAACAGCCCTCTCCCACCTACACAAAGCCAGCACCTCAGATAATAGTGAATAATTTGCTGCTGCTGGCACTCATTATGATCCTGCTTCTCTGTACTGCGCTGTTTGGTGAGCCAGCAAAGCAAGACCTGCAATTTACCTCAGAGTTATGCTTTGTTTGATCTGTTGAAGCGTCTTTGCTTAGCTGCAGTGTGACCAGGTGCAAATAACTACCAAGCATTATGCAGACAATCAGAAGCAGAACAGAACTTCTTAATCTCCTCTTGTGCCAGTGAGAAAAGTGGTGGCCCTGCCACGTTTGCTCCATTACTGCCTCCTGGGATGTTGTGGGAAAACAGCAGGGAGGAAACAAGGCATTTGTGGCTCCTTGAGGGTAGCAGCTTCCCAGTGGAAGTGCTAAATCAAACACTTCCTTTGGTGCCTTTCCTCTCATCAGTCACTGCTGCCGAGCCTCGGGACCAAACTGAAGCTGCATGTTTCTCCACACTGTATTACTCAATGTCATAGAAACGTTTGGGTTGGAAGGGACCTTAAAGATCACCTAGTTCCAGCCCCCTTGCCATGGCCAGGGACACCTCCTATTAGACCACGTTGAACAAGGCCTGATCCAACGTAGTCTTGAACGCATCCAGGGAGCAGGTATCCACAAATTCCCTGGGCAACCCAAGCCAGTGTCTCACCACACTCAGAGTAAAGAGCTTCCTAACTTCTAATATAAATCTCCCCTCCTTCCAGTTTGAACCCATTTCCCCTCATCTTATCAGTACAAGCCCTTGTCACAAGTCCCTCCACAGCTTTCCTGTAGGCCCCCCTCAGATACCGGAAGGCCACAAGGAGGTCTCCTTATCTGCTGTCTTAGTAGAAAGGCTGCTTGTTCATGAAACCTTGGGTTCTGCAGAAAAGCAGTCTAAGCCTGGACCTCATCCCCCTGAGCA